CCCATTAGGCAATCAGCCTATCGACTAAATCCACAAAAAAAGAGATTATGAAAAAGAGGTAGATTTTTTGTTAAAACATAACTTAGCTGAGCCTAGTACCTCCCCCTGGGCTTCACCTTGCCTTCTCATTCCAAAACCCGATAGCACTTTTCGTTTCTGTACCGATTATCGTAAAGTGAACCAGGTCACTGTCTCAGACTCCTACCCTTTACCTTTGATTGAAGATATAATAGACAGCATAGGCTGTGCCAAATTTATCAGTACGGTGGACTTATTGAAAGGATATTATCAAGTGGGACTCACGGATAGGGCAAAAATAATCTCGGCATTTATAACTCCATTTGGTCTTTTTCAATATTTGGTTATGGCGTTTGGCTTTTCTAATGCTCAGGCCACATTCCAGAGGGCCATCAACTACCTAATTCAGGACCTAGGTGGGACGTTCGCCTACCTGGATGACCTGGTGGTGGTGTCGGACGGCTGGGACGAACATCTGGTGCGTTTGGAGATACTGTTTGCACGACTGCAAGAGACTGGATTCACCATAAACCTGGCTAAATCTGCTTTTGGCCGGGCCTCAGTGACTTACCTGGGACATGTCGTTGGGCATGGTATGGTGAGACCCAAGGACGCAAACGTTAAAGCCATCTTGTCCTTCCCCACTCCAAGGACGAGGAAGGAACTCATGCGCTTCCTGGGGATGTGCGGCTACTACCGTCGGTTCTGCAGTAACTTCTCCAGCGTGGCCGGACCCCTCACAGACCTTACCAGTTCTGCGGTCCCTTACATCTGGAACCAGAAGTGCGACCAGTCTTTCCACCGCCTCAAAGCCTTCCTTGCCTCTAAGCCTGTAGTCCACCCCCCTGACTACACCTTGCCCTTCCATCTGCAAATCGACGCTAGTGGTGTTGGAGTTGGGGCTGTGCTCCTACAACCCGACCCAACGACTGATGTCCTTCACCCTGTGGCATACTACTCCGCCAAGTTGAAAAAACATCAGACCAACTACTCGACCATAGAAAAGGAGGCCCTGGCTCTGGTGTTGGCAATAAAGAAGTTTGAATGTTACCTCCAGTCTTGCCCACAAACAACCCTAGTCTTCACCCACCATAACCCACTCACGTTCATCCAAACCAGCTACTCTCCAGACGCACCAGGTGATCACCTCCTTCGCGCCCGCGCTACGGAGGTCTTTGGAGGGGGGGTGTGTTACGAACCCCTCCACCCAGCACTACGAACCACGCCATCTATTGTCTTGATCTACCTACCCAGCACCACGAGCAACGCCATCTAGGGACGAGACACGAGTATGACTCGTCTTAGTTACCACTCCGGGGTTTCCCTTCTCCATATCCTGGTTGTTGCGTCACTTCCTCCAAGTCTTCTTTGTCAGCTCCAATTCGAGGAGAGAGCACTACACTCTGGGAAGTGACCACAGGATCACCTATCCTCTAAACCTACGGCACAGTGACTACCTACCGTCTTCTACAATACTCAGCCTTACTCGTCAGCCATCTCAGCTCCTCACTTAAGTATTTGTAATCTTGTATTGCCTCTCCCACCTCCACCTTGCTTCACGATTGTTTTATGTTTTATTAATATGTATATACTGTTAATGTTTAGGTTAAGTTTGGTTAAGGGTAATTTATAAGCTGAATATTTTGTTAAGGGATTTATGGTACTTTATTATACACAACAAAACTCGCATCCTTTGTCTACCCTTTTATAGTCCGATTGTCTTTGTTTTTTTTTTTTTTTACCTGTTGGGATCTGGGTAGACGTTTAACTATATTCTAAATCCCCAACTCGTAACAATATATATATATATATATATATATATATATATATATATATATATATATATATATATATATATATATATATATATATATATATATATATATAGTTACTACTGCTTCATATTTTTTTTTATATATAACATGTTTCCATGTTGTTCCATATTATTCCTGTAATGATGTGTTATATTTACTATTATATAATCTAGTCACCTTACCCTGTGCTGTTAAGGTTTTAACTGCTATTATTTGTTCAAGCCCATCTTATTTCTTCATTTAGTATTGTAACAGGCATTCTTTGTTTCTCTAACGACCATCTGCATCGTTAAACGACCCATGTTTCACGGGCTGCTAGCATTGGCGGGAAACGACCCTATATATAGTAGTCCACCAACTGACGGAGTTCAGTCCAGTCCTCCTTGTCATTCAGTTCACGTTCTTTTGAGTGACACTTGTCACCTGTTAATTATACTTCATTTTATTACTGTGTTGTTCCTGTCGCCACCAATGTGGTATATCAATGTGAGTACCTATTTATGTCTCTTATGTGTCCATCAGTGCTTGCTTAGTTACATTTAAGTAATTCAGTGTTGTTTCACGATAGTTAATTTCAGTGGTAGTTATTTTATGTGTGTGCAGTGTTAACGTAATCCAATGCTTTATTTTTATTCTTTTGATGGTTCGATGTTTTAGTATCATTTGTGTCTTAAAAGTTTGGATAGTGAATCAATTTGTTGTGACACCCTATGAGGCTCTTTATTGTGTTAATATTTAATTAAATTAAATTCTTAAAGGTTTATTTTATTTATTTTTATTCCCTTTTGATTTACTTTACTTTTTTTTTTTTGGTTACGCCTAGAACCTGGATATTAAAGTAAATTAAGAAACGGCGCAACAATATATATATATATATATATATATACTCAGTCTACTGGGTTTATGTACGGATTAATTAACACAGGGCCACAGTGATTGAAGCCTACGGTCACGGGTCTTGGAGGTACGTCATATAAGGAGCAGTCTTAATCTAGCAGAAGGCATGCAAAGTTATCAGGTTAATGGGGCATGAAGATGACCCATATTTCACCGAAACGTGACAGGAAATGATGTGATAAGCTGTGAATTCCTGTGTGGAACGTAACTGGATAATGCAGTATATGAATCTCTTGGCCTTAATATAGTTAATCCGGCTTGTGTGTTGTATATAAGTAAAATATGTAATTAGATCACATTTATGTAAATAATGGTTATCTATATAGCCTATGTTGTCAGGGACACACACACACACAAACCAGAACCCAGTCAAAAAAATAGAGTCAATCACTTATAGCATGAGCTATATTTGTGACTGAAAAATACACACATACTACGAAAATCATCCAAAATAATGTAAAAGATGTCATCATGACATTCTTTTGCCACTTGCCTTGACTCAGCGGTGCTCCCATGTTTTCGCTTATGAAATGTTCCCCGTTGACCCACAAAATGTGTCGGTTTATGGGAAGTGGACCCACCACCAGAATTTATTCTAGAATCCTGGAAGCTCTCACAATATTAAGGCAGTATTTGCGTTTTTTCCATTGTGCTAGAGGAGTGGGTGACAGGACATTGGGGGACATCTAATGTGTTAGAAGAACATGTTATATGTAGGGAGGACATCTAGTCCAGAGGACGTAGAGCTAGTGCATGGGGAAGACATCTTGTGTGTGAGGAGGATATCTAGTACATGGGAGTACTAGTGTGTGGAGAGGTCATCTAGTGAGCGAGGAACATCTAGTGAGCGAGGAACATCTAGTGAGCGACGAACATCTAGTGTGTGTGTGGGGACATCTAGTGTGTGGGCAGAACATCTAGTGGGTAGGGGGACATCTAGTGAGTGGGGAGGACATCTAGTGCATGGGATGAACATATAGTGTATGCAGAGGACATCTGGTACTTGGGGAGAACATCTAATGTGTCGGGAGGATATTTAGTGTCTTGAAATGACATCTCGTGTGTGGGGAGGACATCAAGTTTGTGGGATGACATCTAGAGTGTGGGAAGGACACCTAGTGTGTGGGGAGGACATCTAATGCGTCGGGAGGATATTTAGTGTGCTAAGAGGACATCTAGTGTGTGTGGAGAGGACATCTAGTTTGTGGGGGGACATGTAGGGTGTGGTAAGGATATCTAGAGCATAGGAAGGACATCTTTTGTGTCGAGAGGACAGCTGGTACTTGGGGAGAACATCTAGTGTGTAGGAGGGATATCTAGTGTGTGTGTGTGGAGGATATATAGTGTGTGGGGATGATATCTAGTGTGTGGGGACGAAATCTAGTGTATGAGGAGAGCATCTAGAGTGTGGGGAAAATATATCGTGTGTGAGGAGGACATCTAGTGTGTGGGGAAGATATCTAGTGTGTGAGGAGGACATCTAGTGTGTGGGGAGGATATCTAGTGTGTGAGGAGGACATCTAGTGTGGGAAGGACATCTAGTATGTGGGGAGAACATCTACTGTGGGGAAAAACATCTAGCGTGTGGGGAGGACAATGAGTGTCTGGGAAGGACATCTACCTCAAGAGACTTTGAATGCGTGTGGCGGACTTTTATTACGTGCGAAAACTTTATTGCTTGGAGAGGACATCTAGTATGTGGAGAGGACATCTAGTGTAACTGGAATATTTAGTGTGTGGAGAGAAATCTAATTAGTAGGGAGGATATCTAGTGAGTTGGCAGAAAATTTAGTGTGTGGGGAAGATATCTAGTGAGTGGGGAGGATATCTAGTGTGTGGGGAGGACAACTGGTGTGTGGGGACTATATTTAGTATGTGGTGTGCAATCTAATGAGTAGGGATGATATCTAGTGTGTGGGGAGGACAGCTAATGAGTAGGGAGTACATCTTTTTTTTAACAGGGATTAGCCTCCGGGTACAGGTCACTAACCCACATCGGGGCTTGGGAGGCGAAATGTAACAACAACAACAACAACAAAACAACAACAACAACAACAGCAGCAGCAGCAGCAACAACAACAACAACAACAACAGCAGCAGCAGACAGAAGCAGCAGCAACAGTAACAACAACAACAACAACAACAACAACCAACAACAACAACAATAGCAGCAGCAGCAGCAAGGCAGCGGCAGCAACAAACAACAACAACAACAACAACAACAACAACAGCAGCAGCAACGGCAGCAGCGGCAGCAACAGCAACAACAACATGACAACAGCGGCAGCGGCAGCGCCAGCGGCAGCAGCAGCGACAAGCAACAACAACAACAAAAGAAACAACAACAAACAGCAACAACAACAACAACTGACAGCAACAGTGGCAGCAGCGGCAGCTGGCGGCGGCAGCAGCAGCCAGCAGCCAACAACAACAACAAACAACAACAACAAAGAAACAAGCAGCGGCGGCAGCGGCTAGCAGCCAGCGGCAACAATAACAACAACAACAACAACCAACAACAGCAACAACAGCGGCGGCAGCAGCGGCTACAGCGGCAACAACAACAACAACAACAACAACAGCAACAACAAACAACAACAACAGCAACAGCAGCAGCAACCAGCAGGCAACAGCAGCAACCGCCAGCAGCAGCAGCGGCACCAGCACCAGCAGCAGCAGCAACAACCAACAACAACAACAACAACAACAACAACAACGGCAGCAGCGGCAGCAGCAGCGGCACCAGCAGCAACAACAGCAACAACAACAACCAGCAACAACAAAGACGGCCGGCAAGCAGCCAGCGTGACAGCAGCGACGGCAGGACGCCAGCAGCGTGACGGCAGCAAAAACAACAACACAACAACAACAACAACAACAACAGCAGAAGCAGGCACGGCAACAGCGAAGCGGCAGCGGCAGGCAACAGCAGCACCAGCAGCAACAACAACAACAAACACCAACAGCAACAGTCAGCGGCACCAGCGGCAAAGCAGCAGCAAGCAGCAGCAGCAGCAGCGGCAACCAGCAACAACAGAGCAACAACAACAAAACAACAGCAACAACAACAAGCAACAACAACCAGCAGCAACAGCGCAGCAACGACCGACGCACCGGCCAGCAGCAAGCAACAACAACAACAACCAACAACAACAACAGCAACAGCAGCAGCAGCGGCGGCGGCAGCAGCAACAACAACAAC